AAGGCTGTCCAGGCCTACACGAGATGAGGCAGGATAAAGAGGGATAATCCCCCTCGATCCCAAATCATTGAGGCCAATTTCTAGCCATAGAATAATGGCGCGCGCCTCGCTGAAGTAAAACCCCATTCACAATCAATTCGCGGGCGAAGTCTGATTTGGCCATGTGTGCTTACCTTTCGCATTTCAATGTAGCCGTTCAGAATAAAATCTCGAGCTGGCAAACGAGTTGAAGTGCGCGTGAAACCTCGCAAGCTGCAAACTTTGACGTCCGTGCCGACTTCCGTGCCGGTTACGGGATATGTGCAATATGATTGTTTTAATAAAATGTCAACATAATTTTAATTTTATGGAATTTTGAAATTAGTTTAACCATTATATGTTGATTAACCACGATGGAAGAATGGGAAACTTGTTATCCCCTCTTTAACAGGTAACAATGCTGTTGTTGTTGTTACTTAAAAAGACAGCTATTATAGCAATTCGAGCAAAAAAACTCGATTAAGACTTCTGGGTCTTGGGGGAGTAAGACCAATTCTAACGGCCCGGAGAAATCATGAATCACTTTAATTATTATTATGGATTATTATTGTACATTTTAATTTAAAATTTTGAAAACAAACAAAATATAAATATAACCTAAAGTATACAGCTAAAACAGCTGATTTAAGTTGAAGCCAACGTGCATGTACCAAGTGTCGCCTGAATTTTATTCTGAATGGTCAAATCCGTGCAGACTTTCGTGCCGAAGTGTAAGTTGGCTAGCAAATTGATTCTGAATGCACCTTAAAGCGACTTGACAGTCTTGACTATTATATTATAGGTTTTGTGGTATTGACACTACGTCAAGGTCAAAGGTCAAAACCATGAAGACTACACAAGGAGTAATTAGAGGGCGCTAGTGTCCCATATCACATATGCACCGAAATAGTGGAGGGGAGATAAAGAAATCAGCAGTTTGAATTAAATATCAGTCATGCCGTTTTTGGCATGACTGATGGGAATTAAACTTTGCCAGTAATTGGAAAGAATTATGTCAAATGTTGCCAGTAATTTCATTTTCATATTGATCTGTTGGCGACACTGATTCTTTAGTGACCTGATTCCATAGATCTAATATTATCCTAATCTATGTCTGATAGTCTGATTCCCTGCCAAAATCAAGATGTCAAAAATCTTTTTAACCTAACTTTTTATAAGATTGGTTTCTATAGCAATTAGTCACAAACATAGAGTAATGATTGTTATCTTACAATAATTTTGTGTAAGCGGTATTTTAGAAATGCCCTTACGTCTTTCATCTTTAATGGAACATGCCATTATTGGATCTATTTTCACAACGCTATTTCTAGTATACAATTATTCCTTGCACAGAATTGAAGAGGGTCATGTTGGTGTTTATTTCAGAGTGAGTTTAATGTATGTTTTATCTATAAATTGGCTTAATTTTTAATTATTCCATTACAGGGAGGTGCTTTGTTACCTACTACAAGTTTACCAGGTTATCATATGATGATACCTTTGTTAACGTCATATAAACCAGTGCAGGTATGTTATTCTCTATAAAAATATTTATAAATACTGATTTAAATAAATGTTTAAATGTTAACCAATTAATAATTGGAAATATATCGTTAATTCAATAGGTATGTTAAGTTTTTAATATTAGCAAATTTTAGGTAACGTTACAAACCGATGAAGTAAAAAATGTACCATGTGGAACAAGTGGTGGTGTTATGATATATTTTGATCGAATTGAAGTCGTAAATCATTTAAATTTTAACAGTGGTAAGTTTTTTTGCAAGGGGAAACCACGAGTGTAACTTGGTGCACAAGCTGAGTAATATTACAGAATATTTGCGTAATATTTTAGTAATATTTGATAAATAAAATTTAAACTAGTATATAGTACTTTTAGTAAATCATAGTAAAGTAGTAGAATTTTGATCTGCGGTTTTCCACAATTTTTTTTATTTTGCTATTTTAGGTAGTAAGTACATATTTTTTTGTTTATTTTTTTTTTCAATGTGCCTACATTAATAGGTCTGTTCCAACAAGTTACTAGAAATGTTGCAAACTGCTTACAGTATACACATTAATTAATAATTTTTCAATTGGAAAATTGATAGTGTACATATTACAAGTAGTTTGTAACATTTCTAGTAGCTTGCTGGAACAAACCTCATATTTTTTGTCATTATCCTTAATATATCATACAACATAAATACCAAGCATTTTACATTTAATTATTAATATATTAATTTTAGAAATACGCTATATTTGACATTTGCAAAGCTAACAATTTAATATAAGAATATTATGCTCTGTTCTAGCAATATTTTGTAAAAATCACAGCTGAAATTGTACTCGGTTATCTTTAAATATATATTTATTAATTTCAGAAATATAAAAATTTTACCCTGGTACTTTATGTTGTGACATTCATTTCTCTCCTTTTTTACATAAATTTAATATTTTTAGTACTGGATATTGTTAGAAACTACACTGCAGACTATGACAAAACGTTAATTTTCAACAAAGTTCATCATGAATTAAATCAATTTTGTAGCATACACACTTTACACGAAGTATATATAGATCTGTTTGATCAAATCGATGAAAATTTAAAACAGGCTTTGCAAAGAGATTTGTTGGAAATGGCCCCTGGTTTAACTATTCAGGCCGTTAGAGTCACAAAGCCGAAAATACCTGAAGTTATACGAAAGAATTATGAATTAATGGAAGGTGAAAAAACAAAATTGCTAATAGCAACCCAACATCAAAAGGTAAAAGTTATGAATTTCTATAAAAAGTGTGTAATATCGAGACTAATGAATTGTTGCGAGTGGCGCCTCTAAACTTTAAACTACTTAATTTTATATTAATACACGATCATATTTATATTCGTATATGGAAAACAAAGTATGGGATGACAAAACCAACATTTCATTGAGCAAAGTGTATAGAAAAAATTGCATGAAATCTGATAATATCTGATAAATTTTAATTTGTAGAGCAATTGGTTGGTTTTCGTTCCTTTTATCGGTTAATAAAACCTTATATTTACTAATCCTATCAATACTATCATTCTTGCAAAAAACCGTGTTTTTGTAAACATATGTGAAAAAGAATTAAATTCATCTCCGAATAGTTGTTTTTTGACCCTCCTGTAAAAAATGGTATTTTACACATAGGAGGTTTTTCATGCTCAATGACGATATGTAAGTTCAAAATGTAAGTTATGTTTTTTAAATAAAACATTTTATATTTTTTATATTTTTGAAATCTAATTTTTTTTTTATCTCAACTACAAATTTTAGTAATGTTTTCTAGATAAAACTAATTAGAATATTGTGGATGTTATAACTTACAAACTCCATCCTTGTCATGTGATTATTAAATGTAAATGAGAAGGTAATAAAAAAAAATAAACTGATAACAATTAAATTTAAATATGTTAAAAAATTGCTTTATACAGAGTATCTAAATAACACTGAAAAAATGTAAGGGGCGATTCTCTGATGAAAATTAATAGGGGTCTTTGGTATAAAATTTTTTGAAAAACCCCTGAAAAGCTACGCCTACAAAAATTTCAAAAAAAAAATGTTTTTATTTTTTGTCTTCCATGTATAATGAAGCTAAAGAAACCAAACTTGGTGATTATCTGTCAAAGAAACTACAGTTTTTTAAATTTTTTCAACCCTGAAGTATTTGGTAAGGGGTTGAAATAATCAACTCCTATGACAATTTTTGTTATAATTTTATTTTGATACAATTTTTTCCTTTTACAAAATATGTCTAAAAAGCCCCATTCATTTACTAACTTTTTGATCTCTTCAAACTTTGAAAAGTTAAGGATTTATGAGAAAAATAAATAAATTCTATGCCAGTCAAGGTATTAGCTGGCGAACTGTCAGCAGTTTCGTTCCGAGATGACGGGCGCCACGTACATTTCACGAATAAAACAAATGGTCAGTAATTTCAAACCAATAAATTTGAAGAAGATAGGCCGCGATCAATACATTATTTAATCATTTTTTAAAAGACACTCGCGTTATACAGCTCATCTTTTTCCAAGAATCACCCCTTACATTTTTCGGTGTTATTTAGATACACCCTGTATACAGGGATGATCTATTAAAGACGCCATAACTTTTATATCAAGTGATTCTGTATTTGAGAGAGGTAAATGAATATCCTCATAAGTGGATTCTAGTTAGCTCCATCTTGTGAAAACAAAAATATATTGAACAGAAACTGTATGCTAAGAATTATAAATATGTCACAATCTTAAGTGGAACACAGCAGTGGAGGAATCAAAAAATGTACTGATTTAACTGAGATATAACAAATACACAGTCACATATTCTTTGCTTAATTGTTTTTTCTAAATATGATTTCCTCAATTCCTCAAAGGAACTTTTTGTGAAGAAAAAATAGAAAGTTACAAATAGGCCATGTACTTACATATTAATGTGTCATACGCCTAATTCAAAATTTTGTGTTAGTTTAAATCTGAATAATTCACAAATTTTGTAACCTCTAGGTTGTGGAAAAAGATGCCGAAACTGAAAGAAAGAAAGCTATCATTGAAGCTGAAAAAGAAGCGCAAGTGGCAAAAATCCAATATGAACAGAAAATCATGGAAAAGGAGTCTTTGCAGAGGATCTCCCAAATAGATGATGAAATGCACTTGGCAAGACAAAGAAGTCATGCTGATGCAGAATTTTATAAACTAAAACAACAGGCTGAGGTTAACAAAGTATTGTACACAGCAGAATTTTTAGAACTGAAAAAATACGAGTCGCTTTCTCAGAACACTAAAGTGTATTTTGGAAACCAAATACCCCATACTTACTTAGGGACAAACTGTGAGAGATCGTATTTAGTACCAGGAACAAGTGAGGTTACTGCTGAGAGTAAGGAAAACTCATAAAAACTGCCATGTGTAGGCAAAGTACTTTTATAGGGTAGTAGATATATCTTGAGAAATGTGTTTTTATGATTGAAGGTAATTAAATTTGGAAAATGACATTTTAGTGGCTATCATGCAAATGTAAAATTTAAAAAATTGGTCTTTTATTCACAGCACCTGTTATGCTCCGATTTTTCTTAGAAACGTGGTGCCGAAGGATTTTTGTGTTTCTGAGAAAAATAATTACCAGAGTGCCACCAAGCAGTATAAATATTTTTTTCTGATATTAAAGTCACTGAAAATGTAACACCGTTTTCAGAATTTTCAAGAAAAACAGATTTTTCAGGAAATATTGACCACCCTGTACTTCATTAAAAACAACTTATTTTTGATCATGTATTTTTATTATGAAATATTTTTAAGTTTTTGTTTTGTTAGTTGTTCCTTTTTTAAAATTAAATTTTAATCAAACCAAAAATTACATTAGTGATACACTTCATAACATGCAATAAATTTACCACCTGTTGTATAATATTTACAAATAAGAAATTATGTATGAACAACCCAGTATAAATAAAATTATCTTTTTTTACTTTAATATTAACTTTTATTAATTAATTATACCTAATACTTAATAATTTACATCCAATATGTATATATCAAAACCCATATAATCACTATTTTTCTTTTTTTTTCATTCATTTTTTAAATAGTGACCATCCTAATATATATTTTGTTTACTTATTTCTTTTAGAATAACATTTAAACGCGAGCGCATACCAATGTAGAAAACCAAGAATTAATAGAGAATTTCATAGAATTGGAATTATGAAATTCGCTAATCTTCGTGTATTTTTTTAAATTTCATATCGACATTTACGTTATCTCGCCTTTGGATAAACGTCATTAAAAAATAAATTCGGTACTGGGGCAATTCGATTCGACGTCTATTTTCCTAATGCTGGATAGAGATGGGATCGTTTTAGTGATCCGTATGATGCAAAACGTATCAACGCCGAAGGATTATGAAACTATGTTCTGATATCAGATGGATCACTAACAACTGTTTTCAGATTTTTAAGAATGTATTTGATTACGGGTAACTGAGACACGTAACGAAATAGGAACAAACCGTTTGACGTTAGTCAAGCACAAGGATATTTATAATACATGTTTTATAAACATCCTCGGTCCGTGACCAGGAAGGAACCAGAATAAATCATATCTCGTGTGTGAAAACGTGCCTCAAAATGAGGCATATTGTTACTTAATAATGTTAAAGTTTATACATACTTAAACTGTTATAATAAGCAGGTAACAAAAGTAATTTATGTAATAATGATAAATATGTAATTTAAAGAGATTTGAGGGCATCGATCGCAATGCCCCCTGGATCCTGACGACCTATAAACGTTAAAAATTGTAGGTAAACGTTCGTCAACCATTATCATTTCCCCCTGCCCGCTAACCTTTTCTGTTTCAGAGACAGCCAGGATCAAGAAACGAAGACAACGACACACACACACACACATACACACTCCCCATACCCTCCTTTCCCCTCCCCACCCGCGCTAGCCTAAGGGCCACCTTAGCAAAGCGCATCCCAGGCTGCATAGCCGCACTACCCTACCCAACCATACCACACATAAACATGACACTACCCCCGGGGTTTACACAGACGAGCCGACGAAGCAAGAAGAGCGCCAGAAGAAAGGGCCCTAGCCGGCGGGGCCCAGCCAGGACAAAAGGAGGTCCCACAAAGCGCCTACACCGGCCGCATTTGCGGTCGGGGTAGACGACGGATGGGGCCCACCTACGAAGGCTGTCCAGGCCTACACGAGATGAGGCAGGATAAAGAGGGATAATCCCCCTCGATCCCAAATCATTGAGGCCAATTTCTAGCCATAGAATAATGGCGCATTATCATTACTTGTTTTCGCGATTTCGAAATAATATTTACCTACGACCACTACTGTAAATACTTAAAAACACACCGTATGCGATCAATGTAAGATTCCTATTACGTACGGTAAAAAAATCGCACAGTTTTCCTAGCAACCGCCTAGTAACGATCAATACAATACTGTTTGTATTGAACGTTGCTAGGCGGTTGCTAGGAAAACTGTACGATTTTTTACCATACGTAAAATAGTAATCATACATTGATCGCAGACGGTGTGTTTTTAAGTATTTACAGTAGTGGTCGTAGGTAAAGTATAGTACGTAATACGTGGTGTAATGCAATTATGCAAGCATAGAATTACACACTCGCCGCTACGCGGCGTCGTGCGTAAAGGTGCGGTTTCGGTGGGGCATCTGGCGACTGCGACTAGTCGCAAATTACTGCTTTAATGCATATTAGATGCACGTGGCAACTGTGAGGCGTTCAAACCGCGAACGCTGGCGAAAGAGTCGCGACGTCAGCGACTCGACTGCCTATGGGACCAGTCTAGCCGCAGTCGCAGTGGAGAAATGGTGCGTTTTTCTGCACATGAAGATGAAATATTAGTAGAACTTCCAAAATATCTCTTTCTTTTTAATTATGAAGTACTCCTCAAACTGTTTAGGATTTAATCGACGAAACAATGCCTAAACTTTATTTCATCTTCATTTAAATGAGCCTTAATAAGGAGATTGATATACTTCCCTCTTACGTTGTTTGTATATATTATGGGCGTCACACCTCTTCTGCAATAAGGTTTGTTTTAACAACTGTTCTTCATAATCTCCTTCTTCTAATAAAATCAGATATATAAGATCTTTCTCATTCATTTTCCCTATTTAAAACAAATAAATAAAATAATGAGAACATATTATATTAACCACCGGACGTAGACTAATAAGTGAGTCGCGCTTTTTTAAACGCTCCACTGTGTAAACACCCACCCCGCGCGACTAGCAGCTGCGCTCAGTCGCAGTCGCGAGCCGAAGCCGCCAGACGCACCACCGAAACCGCACCTTAACGTTTCCATACGTGCGTAAAATGCTTTTTACAACACTTATTATGTAATATACTATTTCGTCTTCATTCATGCAGGGCAAAATTTTTAATTTTATTTTATTCATTTATTAGAAATCTGTAAACTGAATTGACTATAGCTTTGTTCCTAGTAGAATCTAAAACCGGTTTTCAACAGACAGACGCATGCGCATATGGATATAATGCTTACATAAGGTTCAAAATTCATTGTTTTGAATCAAATGCGATTGCGTCGGACTGTTGGAAACTAATTCTAATGCACTTGGAACAAAGCTAATTTCTCAATATTTCTGTACACTCGCGCGTTTATTTTGAAAACGTAACGAAAACATGCTTAAAAGTTGCTAAAGACTTTTTTAAGAAAACATTAGATATATAAATTGAGTATAGCTTATAAAAACAAAGTTAGAAACACTATGATAGATATACTTATATTATAAACTGACAGAAAAATTAGTGAGTGATGTGTACTGCTCTCTAGTTCTAGTCTCTCTGATGCATGCGATAACGATCATATAACGATTGAAACCATTAAAACGATAAGTTTACATTTTGAACCACCCGATATGTCACATATACCTATACTCGACGGCCAAAATTATAGATAGTGATTAATCGCTAGCTCTTGGACTAGTAAGGGGGATGAAGCGTGTCGGGTACGAAAATCCATTGGCGTGTCTGCGTAAAAGGCAACAAGATATAGAAAATATTGAAAAAACATAATAAAACATAACATCTAATATTTTTTACGGT